CATCACCTAAGCCGTAAGTAGTATCAATCAATTCATGTGCACTCCGAAAGAAATACACCTACAAGCATCCTACATAGTACTGCGTTATCTAAAAGGATCACTTGAAAAAAAAATTATATTCAGGAAGAGTGATAAATTACATCTAGAAATTTATACTAATACAGATTATATAGGATCATTGTAAACATAAGCTCTACCACATGATTCTATAACTTCCTTGGGAAGTCATAAGCAAAATATAGTTGTAAAATCAAGTACAAAATCAGAATTCCGTGCAATAATGCAACGGATATGTGAATTGATATGGATAAGAAGAATTCTGGAAAATCTTAGAGAGTCAAGTAGGAAAATCCCATGCACCTATACAATGACAACAAGTCAACCATAGGCATTGCCTACAATTTAGTGCAACATGACCAAAGCAAATATATCAAGGTCAATAGACATTTTATCAAATGAAAACTTGACAATGACCTAATATGTACTATATGCACGCCTACTAATCGTCAACTGGCATATGTGTGACTAAAAACTTAAGTAATTCAGCATTTCAAACTCTTATTGACAAATTGGGGATGGACAATATTTATTCCCCAACTTGAGGGTGAGTGTTGAAGAAATGATAATTAGGTTAATGGATATAATGGTGAATTATACTTTATGTAATTAATTGTAGTTAATTTTCTATTTCCTTTTGTCCTAAAAAAATTATATATATAAACTTGTAATATTCAATAAAGTACACATTAAACCATTCTTAACAATTTAAGAATTGTGAGTTTTTGTGTTGCTGTGATGTGGAATGTGTATAAAGTATGAATTAAATATAGCAAGGGAACATTCTCACTCATCAACAATTCCTTTTGATGATGAGCAGTCATTGACAAAGTTGCCTTAGTATATTTTTCTTATATAATAGAAATACTTATCAGAAACTTATGGAAAAGTTTATTGATGAACTAGTTTTATCACCCAAAATTTTATGGAAAACAAATATGAGAGTTAGAACATTGAAAAAGAGAGTTTGAGAACGAGATCTCTGCTCGGCTCGGTTTGTTTGGCTTCTCTACTAGGTTTCTTCTTAAATTAAGTTCTAGTTCAGACAAACACTATAGCTTCTCTACTTGACTTTTTTCTTTCGAAAGAAAGCTTCTCTACTTCACTTGATTAGGAGTTAGTATCTTTTGCAATTAAGTCATTCTAGAGTAAAAGCACAGCAACCTTGAAGGGAAAATGTTAGAGACCATTGGTTTGTTTAAAGGTGGCTTCATCCTTTATGGGGAGGATCTTGGAATCTTTGTTCATATTTTCTGTTCTGTTGTTTACTCTTCTGCTTTTGTAGAAGGGATGGCACCCCCTTGGTGCCCTTTTTAATATATGTTCTCTTTTTTATTATTAAAGAAGGCACAGCAGCTAGAAACAGTAAAAAGGTTACAAGTTTAGCCTAAACAAACGTTGTTGAGCACAGAGTCATCGATCAAAGTTTAAAGGAAAAGAATTCTAGTGCTAATCTTTAGTGAGGGAGTGCCTATACAAGATCCCTTTATTTCTGAAACTAGTAGTGCTGGCTCAATATGAATGCATACAAAGTCGGCTGAGTTTGAAAGCAAGCTTTCATACTCAGTTAAGCTCCTTAGCTGGAGCTCAAGCTCGAGCATTGATGGGCTTGAGATCTATATGAATTTGAGGCAAATGGAAATTTGGAATAAAAAAAATATTCATGGATCTGAACACAAGTAAAGTTTTAAGATGTTCAAGTTTAAAATGTGCTTGAACAAACCATATCTTTAACTCACTGAGCTCAAATATCCAAATGTTGGCATGGATTAGCTTGGCTCTTTTCCACGCCTAGGTGCAAGATCCTTTATATTTTTAGGTACACTTCACTTTGGAAATACATTCTGAACTTAGCAACCTGTTATTTCAACAGCCCAGAAGGCATTGAAGCGCTTTGTTCAGATATGGAAGTGCCATATACTGATGTCAGGATCTTGATGCTTGCTTGGTAAGTTATATGTAAAGTTGTTTGATACCTTTGTTCTCATTGTTTGTTGATACTGATGGACTGCACATTCCAGGAAAATGAAATCTGAGAAACAAGGATACTTTACTCTGGTAAGGAATACCACCAAGTTTCCATTTCAACTTTCAGAATATTGATTTTTAGTGATCAATTGTACATTCCTGTTTCTTCTCATCATCATAACTTGCCTCAACTGGTGTTTTCTTATATGACTTGCTTACTTGGCATATATCAGTTCCTCCTATATGCTTTTGTATCATGAGTGAGATACGACTGGAATCTTTGCAATCAATTGTTCTATAAGTCTTTGCTTCCGGGATTTTAGAATTATTTATTTAGTAAAGTGAATGTTGCATTATGATTTTGCTAATTGCTGATTAGAATAGACTATAATGATCCCACATTTCCAATCTTCTTATAGTGAAAATAAATACACACTTGTATGATCAATATGAAATTTTCATCACTTGTACAAATTTATATTGTAAATGTGAAAATCTCTTTTCCTTGTTACTGATGTAGGAGCAAAGTAGGAAAACTCCTAGAAGACTAGGAGTCTTAAAAGATTAGGATTTTAATCGGATGTTCCAGGGGATATTTCTCAAAAAAAAAAAATTTTGAAGTTCCAGGAGAGATTAAATTTCTACTGTTCTTCTATTGACTTTTCTCTTTAAAATATTTTTTTTTCTTTGCTCTTTCATCAGTTACAATCTAACTTATTTGTTTTCTAGATTAATAATTCTGAAATTCAAGTCCTCCATTGTGCTTCTGTTTCAGAGACTTAGATTTCCTTAAAGAAAGTTTCCACTTTTATAAAAGTAATTCAAATTGTTATTTCAAAAAAAAATGAAAGGAATTTAAAATGATTGTCTGATATCTTCTCGGGAAGCACCTTAGACACTATTTTTTTTTGTGAATAAATATTTTCTTACAAAAATACTTTATTTTCTTTTGGAAGCGTTTATGCCTTTTACGTCACAATGTAAGCTTTTATTGATTAGTACACAATAGTAAAAGATTATTATTTTATGCAAATCAGCTCCAAAAGCATGTCATATGAAAGAAGAAGCACATTGACATGGATATAAGGACCTCTCTTCTCCATTGGATGAAGTGGTAGGCATTGGAACTGGTGGAAGCTGGTACTAACTGCATTTTTATGTTGTTGTCTTTTCAAGTTTGTATATTTGACTATCATGTGAAATATAATATCTATATATGTTAGCTTAGTTTCATGGGAAGCTAATTTAAAAGCAATCTTGATAAAACAATTGTGTTATCTGATATAGAATGCTTTTTATTTATTTAATTAGTATTGATGACATTTTAATTCATTTATCTTTTTTTTTCCCTTTGAAATTTCCTTAATTTATTAGTAAATTGTGAAGGGCTGTCCCTTAGGGATAGTTTAAAAAAGTTGTTTTTAAATTATGAATACATTTGTCGGCCTATTGCTCAACTGCTTGTTCATATTGCATTTGCCACGTGAACATATTCATTGTACTTCGATACACAGACTATAGCTGCATGATGAAACCCACTATATGCTCATGGGCAGTTACGGATATGCTAAGTATCTTTGACCAATATGAGCTAGCCAAATTCCTTGCGTTGGCTTCTGCTGTTCCTTCTATAAGACACACAACAAATGGACTGACAATTGAGGATGTATTATTTTTATTTTCATTGGAAATTGATGCCAGTTAATTCTTAGATTAGTTCTTGTGTTACGTGGAAAATTGCATTAAGGTGAATCCATTGTTTTTTGTTTGGCTGTGTCGATTCTTGAAATTTGATGGACTTCATGAATCGTCTTCAATCTTGGAAATGTTCATGTTATATCTTCCTGCCCTTTCTTTTTCTTTCTTATTTGTGTCATATGAAAGGAAGAGTGGCGAAGAGGCTTGAAGGCGCTGAGGGCCGACACCATAAGCAAATTAAAGAAGGCTCTTCCTGAGCTTGAGAGAGAGGTAGAATGTCTAAAGCTGGATTCTTTTCTTATCCGTTTATTATTCATTGGGCTTGGGGTTTGGCATATGGTTTACCGGGATGATGTGAGTAATGACTGGATCAGTGAAGAAGAACTCTAGGCTTGGAAAGGCATCCATAGAGATAAGTGCTTTAACAAGACCTTAGACTTATCCTTTTTACCTTAAGGGTAATTTGGAAAGAAAGAAATAGAAGCATTTTTTGATGGTATAGAGCCTAATTTTGATAGATCTAATTATTAATGGTTCAAACTGTAGGCTTTTCTATCAAGGATCACCAGCTTTAAACTTGTGAGGTTCTAAGGAATCTTATTGACATTTTGCTTGAAATGTAAATACTTTGAACATGGGCTTGTACCACCTTGGTGCTTGTGAATGTATTTTTTTTTTTCCTTTTCGAAAAGAAATTCAGTGGACTTTTGACGCATGGAAAAGAATGGAATAAGGCTTAGTGCTGAATATAAATACTTTGATCTTTCAAAGGTCAGGAGGCCATCAAACTTTGTGGATTTCTATTCCTATTCATTCCGGTATTGCCTAACAGGTAATACAAATTTATAGTGGCAAAATTGTTAGTTAAGATGTCACTTCATGTCCACATGCACACATTTATCTTATCCTTTATTCCTTTTATGATCATTTTTGTAGAGGAGAAACAAAAAAGCATAGACATAGAGAGCATCTGCCAATTGCTAGATCTTGTTATGGGATCCCAGTTTCGTGCTCAGGTGGACTACTTCATTGAGTATTTGAAGGTTAGAGCTTCCTGTTTCCTCAAAGATTTCAATTGTGAAGTTTCCAAGGTTTTCAGCTTGTATTCATTGGATAATTAGTTCCCAGGTCCCTGGTGTTGAATAATTTTACTGGTGAACTTTACCAACTCTCTGTTGGAGTAGTTAGTTGATTGGCCTGACTTTTCTTTCCTTTAGGGAAAAGCAGCATAGTGCTGCTTTTGCGGCTTCTTGAGTGCCTGGCCTTCAAAGTTTAGTGTGCGTAATATTTACTTAAAACCATGTTCATTTTCTAAATGCAGATTCAAAGCGATTACAAAGTGATAAATATGGATCAATGGATGGGCTTTTACCGGTTTTGCAATGAGGTAAACTTGATGTACTTTGTTTGAAATTCTTGCTTACATCATATGTTAATTTTTTTTTTTTTTTTTTTTTTGCTAATTGTAATTTTTTCTGTCCCTCATAGGTGGACTTGAACTAAACCACTTTTATGAAAGTGGCTGGAACTAACCAACCAGCTGTGGTTTCATAAGTTCTATTATGTTCTATGAGAAATCTAGGTTACACTGTAAATTAGTTGATGGTCTCTTAGGACCTTTTGGGTAAAGCTCAGGTGTAATGTTAAGGCAAATAAGATGGCAGGGATCCAGATTGGGCCTCAAGTCTGTCCTTTAGTAAAGCTGATCTATTTTTTGTAGTGATTGAAAACAAAATGATACTAATTAGCAATATATAAAAGTATTTATTCCACAATGTTCAAAATTTAGACATTGAGTAACGTGTATTCCATATACATGTTCTTTTTCAATTTCTAACCTAAAAGTCTTCGTTATTGACAAAATGTTATTGTATATCATTACCTCTAGTTCTCGATTATCAAGTGTCCAAGATAGATATCCAGTGTTGGACATGGATCCATTCCCATACCAATTTTGTGTTATGTCCGACACGGGTATGGCACGAAAAGTAAAGAACCCGAGAAACATAGGGCTCCAGAATGCCTGTAGATAGTCATAACAGTTGAACAGTCCAGCTGGCAGCAAGTTTAGCCCCTTTCTCTGTGTAAGTATTTGTTTAAAACAGGGACCAGTATGTTATTTTGGGGGGGGGGGGGGGGGGGAAGAGGGACCAGTATGGGGTTGTGGCTGAACTGGTTATTTTATGAGAAACCCAGCTTTTCTCTCCCGGTTAAGTGAGTTTCCAAGGCATTTTGTTGCTACATTGGATTTGCTTTCAGCCCCCAATATGATATCTTGGATGGGTATCCAGCTTGTTACCAAGAATTAGCAGTATGAATACTGATTGGCGGTTGACCTTCAATCTAATATTTTGGATTGCTCTCAACCTTCACTCGTATAATACAAAGGCAAGCATACTATACTTTTTGCTTTTTGCCCTTTACTTTACTTGAAGGTCGGGCAGGGGTCTTGTCTCTTCTTCCCAGTTCTTGCCCTGATTTCTTACTATGGTCCATTTGCTATGGGGCCTTATATTTGAAAGAATTTTTGAGTTTTTTACCCATATTCCTCCTACCATACATAAATTTTTCTTCTCTCCCTCTTTTTTTTTCGATGGCTCAAAGGACTTCATAAGAGTAGAAGACCTACCCTCTTGGGAAAGAGGGAAGAACATAACCATCTCAACCAAGGGGAGATGGTTGTCTTCTCTCCCTCCCTTTGAAAAGTGAAAACTCCCCTCTGAGGTACAAATCTGCCTGTGAGTAGTGATATTAAATAGGATCAATAATAACAACTTGCTTCCAACTTGCAGACCCCAAAAAGTGCTGTCTCGGATGTTTATTTGGTGTGCCTTCACAGTTTAAAATACAATAGTCATTTGTTTCTTTACTGCAGGATGGCCTAGAGGGTTTTACTAGATTATTTTCTTCTTTTCCACGTTTCTTGGGTGTGTCCTCTCAACCTAAGGATCTTTATCTCCACCTCTCTATGTGGTTTCAAATGAACCGAGGATCATAAGATTCTTTTGGAGAGGGGCTACTTCTGCTGGTATGGGTCCTTTTGGAGATATATGCAAGTACTTTTAAGCAAAATGCTAGACTGTTTGATAATATTTGTGAGGGCTGGTGTTTTTTTGCTTCTGTCTTGACCTTTTTATCCACACTACAAAGAGTTCGGGTTGCAGTTTAATTTCCTCTGTTGAAGAAGGATGGATTATCCTTCTTTAGTTTGTAATTTTTTCCTCAATATTCCTTTTTTCTATTAAAGAAAAAAGGGAAACTAAGACTTAGCCTTCTTTACCACTTATGCTTTTCAAGTGTTATAAGTAGCACCTTCTCTAAATTGAATTTCTATTGACATTAAAATAGGTAAGAGACAACATTTATTTAATAGCTGATGGACAAAATAGGTACCCGCACTTCTTTTTTATTTTGAGGTTTTTAATGTCTCTCTCACCCTATGCAAAGCCACCCCAATAATAATACCAAGTTTAATTCTTTCGACTTGGTTTGACATGTTTAAATCTTTTGACACATTTCAATGTTTAACAGATAAGTTTCCCAGACTTTAGTAATTACGACCCAGAGCTTGCTTGGCCATTGATCTTGGACAATTTTGTGGAGTGGATGCGGGCAAAGCAGACTTGAAGCTGTTGTCTTTGATCAACTTGATCCTCAGCCGTAAACTGCCATGTCTACTCAAGTGGGTATTGGTGGACTCTTTATGTTCTTTTTCTCTTTATGAAAGATGTACTAGCTTAAGTCACTTCAGAGTGGTTGTTCGTTGATCAAAATTATCGTCATTAACATTATTGCAGGATCGTCCAAAGCCTACTTTCCTCTCTTTGTTTTACCCTTTTCTGTTGTGAACTCTTCCTCAAACACCAACGTTCTGCGAAATTGTTTCTCCTTGTTCTTGCTGAAGATGGTCTTAATACATTTTATTAGTTTTCTTGCATCTTCTATCATCAGTGTGATTGTGTATTGTCCAGTTGGTGAATTGAGATGATCTTTTAACATTAGTTTTAATTGGATGCTGCTTTTGTAATTTGAGGACACTGGAAGAGGATAACACAGAGAGAGATTTTAGGTTTGGATATATACTCATATATTGTGTTCCTTGTTGCTTTTGCTATCTTTTTCTCTTCTTTCTTGTTAGGCTATACGTTTGGTGTTTCATGAGAAACTGGTAGAAGATTTTGAATCTCTTTTTCATTCAATCACTTGGATTTTTTTTTATTTTTTATTATCTCCCCAATAACTATATGAACTCTTAGAGTTTATTAGTATATTTTTAGTAACTATTACATAAATTTTAATTTTTAGTCTCTACATTTATTTCTGAACTTAATGGGTATCCTTTAATTAAATAAAATTGCATTCATATAATCTCAACTTACATGACTTTCTCTTTTTTATTTACAACAAATTGCAAATCTTTCTCTACATTTATTTTAGTTCCATCCAAAGTCAATTTACCCACAAATTTACTAGTAATATTTTTATAAGTTCTTATTAAAAAGTTCAGAATTTAAAAAAATAATAATAATAATATACCTTAGTACTGAAATAGATCCTAAATTAGTCAAGTGTTCACCATCCAATATTAAATGCTAATTTTGAAGCTAATATAGATATGGGCATAGCCAACTTATCGCATACCATCAATGAAAGAACATAAAGTTTAGAGTTGCTAAACTTCTGTGCATCAAATTTTTCAATAATATCATCCATTAATCGTTCTATTAAGTATTTATTTAACCTACTCTTACTAAACGTATATGTCCTTGAATCAACCCTTCATTTCTTATGTCTCCGACAATACTATTCCTATATCTAGGAGTCTTATTTTTTTGTCACATTTGAAGTATTGGAACGAGAGTTGACCATTTTAGTTACTATTTCTTTAAAAAAAAATTAAATGCATAAAATTTTTTATAATCATCATTGAGGTTCACAAAAAATGTTATATTTTTTGTAACACCCAAAAATTGTATTTTTATTTTTTAATTTATTTTAATTTTTATTAAAATTTTTGTTTAATTTTATTCTATTTTAATATTTAATTTATTAGATTTTAATTTAATTTAATAGAAATAAAAATAATAATAATAATAAAATATGGTAAAATTATTTTTGAGATTTAATTAAAATTGATTTTGAGAAAAATAGGTGAAAATTTGGATTCTGGAGGTGTTTTTGAAAAGAAAATCGAAAACTGGGAGTCAAAACGCAATTTGGAAAAGTTATGTCACGTCAGCAGCCCAGTCAGCAACCCAGTCAGCAGTCCCGGCCAACTACAACACGCCACGTGACAAGGAAGCTGACGCGGGAGGCCACACGAGATGGAGCCACGTGGGCGATCTGCGTGCACGCGATCGAACGATCCAGATCTCACGCGTACGGACGGTCCAGATCTCACGTGCACGGACGGCCCAGATCTCACACGTGCGGACGGTCCAGATTGAATCACGCACGAATGATCCAGATCGCATCGCGATGGACGGTCAAGATTTATTCTCATTTAAATCGTGATTGGACGGCCCAAATTAAATCGTGATGGACGGTTGAGATTAAAAGGGGAAGGTTATAAATAACTTCACCCACACCCAACCCCAAACCCTAGCTGCCAGTACCCTCGCCGGAGAAGAAGAACCAGTCACAGGAGGAGCCGGCCGCTGCCACCCGCCACCGCACTGGAGGATTTTCCGACCGCCAAACGAGGTAAATTTTCTCCCCTTAGCTCTTTTTCGATGCTGAATCTGCCTATGGCCAAATCGGAGCCAAACCACCAGCCAATCGGCCGGAAAATACCGCTGAAGTCCAGCGGCGCCACCGTAGCTTCCCTCAGTTTTTGCCTCCGATGAGGCCCTTCCCAATTCCCGTTCGATGCAATTTTTACACCACTGTGATCACCATCCTTTTCTCTACAGATTGACCGGAGTAAAACATCAAATCGTGACTTGCACCGGAGAAGTCGCCGCACCCGAGAGCTCCGCCGACGGTAAGTCT